TGGATAGATTGATAGATATGTGTATAAACATGCATATTTCAGTTATAAATATCACTATTATTATTATTGTCACTATTAGTAATATCCATATTATCATCATTTTCAATATCGATTTTCATAGCTTCTCCATTGTAAGTATTCTGTTAATCATTCATTGCATAATTATCTTGTTATTCCTTACTGCATCACATTTGGTTCCACTCCTAGCATTTGCAGTTCCACATTTATTTCTTTTAATAATTACTTGTCTCATTAGTATATAATATTTTTTTTTATTTTAATCATGTTATGCATTCTTTTATCCTTGTTCTGTTTTCCATTCACAGAGCAACAATGAGGATTCTCCCTGACCGGATTCCTTTGGCCCTACTCAAGGACAAGGAAATACTTGGCACTGGAGTCAGTATCAAAGAAGAGCTCAATGAAGGTGTCACCGAAGAGATATTGCAAATTAAGGAAGAACTGTTTGATCATGCAGATGAAGGGAGGGATGAAGTGGAAGTGAAACATGAATTTCTTTCCTTTCAGGATCTTCAAGACCTCAGACACAAAACAAAGGAAAAAGACTCGTGTGATATTGAGGATTGCAATACCTTGTCGAGAGCATCAATTGTGGCTGAGGAAAATAAGAAAAAATGCTCATCAGAGGAGGATCAGACAAAGCAAAAAGAAAGTTGTACAGAGGTTACACACAGAAAAGTGGCTAGGAAACTGAAGCGTTTTTTATGTGAAGTGTGTGGCAAGACATTTCGTAATAACACAGATCTAAAGATTCATTTGAGAGTACATACAAAGGAGAAGCCTTACAGTTGTGATATTTGTAACAAAGATTTCTCAACTAAAAAGGGAATAGTGAGGCACATTAGAGTACATACAAAAGAGAAGCCTTACAGCTGTGAATTCTGCAACAAAGCTTTCTCAAGGAAGAGTGACCAAATCAGACACAAAAGAGTACATACAAAGGAGAAGCCATACTGCTGTGCTATTTGCAATCAAAACTTCACAGAGAAAAATAGTTTAGTAAAGCACATGAGAATACATACAAATGAGAAACCATACAGCTGTGAGATTTGTAATAAAGACTTTACAGATAAATATGACTTAGTGAGACACATGAGAGTACATACAAAGGAGAAGCCATACATCTGTCAGATTTGCAATATGGCCTTCACACGGAACAGTTCCCGAGTGAGACACATGAGAATACATACAAAGGAAAAGCATCGTTGAAATCTGCAGCAGTGCTTTCTCACAGAAAATCAATTTAGTAAAGCACATGAGAGTACATACAAAGAAGAAACAATACAGTCACAGATGTGGAGGTCATTGGACAATTTATACACGAGTGTTGCAGTTTTTATCGTGAATATGTTATTACAATTACAGCAAGAGAATTCATGTGAAATACTATATAAAATCTATATTAAAAGGTGAATGAAAGTGGATTCAAGAAAAGAATTTTGATGCATGCATAAACACAAACATTTGCTTCTATGTATCTATCTACTGGGACTGGGGTCCAATATAGGGGATTACCCCTACCTAGGGACTCAGCCTTTGCATCAACCAATTTTGCATGATCTTTTCTTTGCCTTTTTTCCTCTCCCTAATCTTCCCCAACTCCATCCCCTGTCCAGTTCGTAAGGTGTGAGAGCTGTGTAGAAAGAGTGAAAGGCTGACTTTCAGGATTCCCTTGGTTAATTGGCTATTCCTTACTCTTCGTGTGGACCCTGAGGTGTAAATTTCATACCTTTATTTGAAGTTTTGAGGCTTCCCCTTCCCCTTCATCAAATAATCTCCCAAAATCTAACTCCTCTTTCATACTAACTCCTGACTATCCTGTGATCATGGCTCTGACCGCTTTTACTACACTCTCCTTGTCGACATCTACCCAGGCAACTCAACCTCCAAAAGACACCTCTTTCTCAACCCCAACATCCTTGACCCCATCTGCACAATCATCTATATTTCCTACATCCCCCTCCATTATTACTACTCTTCATCTTGATTGCCCTCTCCATCACAGCACTGCATCACTCCACACCACTCCTTCCTCCCATCCTTGCCCTTGTATAAGTCACACCTCCACAATCCTACCTACCACATCCACACCTACAACTATATTCTCTGCTCAAATACCTACCTATTCTTCACCTCCTCAGACAACCATCTCTACCTATATCACCCGTTGATTGCTCCACAATGGCTCTTCTACAGTCGAATATTCAAGGTTTTTTTTCTCACAGACCTTATATCTGTCATCTCATATGTTCCAACAACCCACCCACCATCTGTCTCCAAGAAACCTTCCTACCACAACCTCCAGTACCAATCCCAAATTATCACTTTGTATCATTCCCTCATTCTCTCTGTCTCCTCTCTACTCATCCATCAAGAAATACCATACACTATACTTCCTGTTCCAACTGCTGTCCCTTGCACTATCTTCCTTCGCTTTTGGATCACAAGTGTTTCAATTTACTCTTCCCCTTCTAGCACTTCCCCGGATTCTTCTCCTCCAATGGCCACCATTGTTTTCCTTGAGCAATGTCCCTATTCATTCCCCAGTTATAGATACAATGCAATTCACTCAATTGCCCCCTTAACCTTCCCCTTTTTACTAATCTGCTTTACTTCATTTGCTCCCCTCTTTTCCCTTTTCACTACCTTTCTATGTTACGATGCTTCTAATCTTTGACATCTCCCCCACCCCTTGATTCTTTTCTATATAACCTCTGATATCTAGCACATTTGTTTCAACCATGACTTCAAATTTTATGGAAGTGTTTACAGTAATTTTGGCGGTGTTTTGGTGATTGCCTATGAAGGTATATTATGATTTATTTGGACTTATCTTGTTCATTAATTCATCATAGTTGTTTACAGGATCACTATTAAGAAACTGAGTATTGACGGATCGAACCAGAAGATAATTTTAGGCCATGGTTAATGGATCATTTAAGAATATTGTAAACAAGATAGGCCCTAATATAAATCCATGTGGAATACAGGAGGACACTATCTCATAAGTTGATATATTTTGGCAAACTTGACTGATTAGGTTCTGTTTGATAACCTCTGAACCAATATGTATCAATATTGTGCTATATTAGTTAACTAATAAGGACTTTATGGCTGGCAATATGAAAAGCCTTGAATTTAAATATGCATTCCCAGTAGATATGATTAACCCAATCCCCCAAGATTTATGTACTGTCCCATGTAGCTTTCTGGGATTTTTTTGTTAAAGATGTTCCAATGCTCTCAGCCACCAAGGAGTGATCATGCCCGACTTAGCTATTCCTTGAAATATTGGGAAAATGTGTTTTCCCTTCTAAAAAGATTCATAATTATACTATAATTATTCTTATGGATATTTTGATGATTAAATTGTTTTTAAAATTATCAATATCATTAAAGACCATAAAGAAATACAAAAGAAGCATTCCAAAAAATCAAGGAAAAGGGTAAACAGGAGAGGTAAGTGGGATTAATAACTCATTACTGTGATGTGTCAGCTAGTTTGTGTGTTACTACGGGCTTTTGAAAATGGGCTTTTTCCTATTTGTTCCCATCTATTCCACCATATTTGGTCATTTTGTGTGTTTATGTAATATAATGGAAAAACACCTGTTAAAAGTGTTTGGAGTTTTTGTTATATCCCCATTGCGCATGCGTGTTTTCCCAAGCAGGATTTTCAACAGTTCCTTAACTGTTCTTCAACAGTCACCATTATCTTTTGTGCTGAATGTGATCTTGGCATGGTCCTCTTAAGCCAGTAAAGTGGAAATTCTTTGGCACTTGCTAAGGTCATTGTGTGTAAAATGAGCCTTTGAATTGGCGATATAAGAGCAGAGTTAATTAATAATTCATGATGCATTTCCCAGAGCCCAGCAAGTTTCCACTAGTTTCTCTTTCAGCAGCTAAACTTTAACCTCCATCCATCTAAGGTAAAAATGGTAGGCAACTAGAAATGTGTACTGTTTTGAAACTATTGTATTGAGGGGGGGGGGGGCATCAGGAGGGAACTTCCAGTCAACAGTGACAACTTCTTGTGCTTGGGCGGAGCGTGAATCGGTGACCCCTTAGATGAGAGGCCAACATGATACCACTGTACTAACTCAGAGGCTTTGTCTTAGAAAGTATTACCATAAACTTATATAATTGTAGACATGTCAAATAGGGCGATTGGACTAATGTTAATAGTAAAAAAAATCCACTTCCCACATGAACAATGTAATGTTCAATTAGTAAAAAGAAATAAAGAACTCATTTGTCTGAATCCGAGAAATACATTTCAAAGTATCCACAGCTTGTTCAAGCTAAGAGTGGTGAGTATGGTATGGATAACCTATGAAGGCAGGTACTTCTTCAGGCACATTATATTTAATCATAACATTTCCTTCTGAAACACATTTCTTATTTCAACCATGAGTAAACATCGAAGTATCAAAGTTATTTTAATATACATTTACACACACACACACACTTTCAACTTTCAACAAACTTTCACTCTGCTAGCCTCATTCTTTGTTTCATCTCCATATTCATACGGTTCCTCCTTAATTTCCACTTCTATCTCTTCGGTGACACCTTCTCTGAGCTCTTCTTTGATACTGACTCCTGTGCCAAATGTTTCCTTGTCCTTGAGTGGGGCCAAAGGAATCCGGCTGGGGAGAATACTCGTTGTTGCCTTGCGAATGGGAAAAAGAGCAAGGATAACAAAACCATTTTAACATGCTTAGAAAACAAAAATTATATTTGATGCTATATGCAATTATTTAAAGGTGTAAATGTGGAAACACAAATGCTAGAAATGGTAACCAACTGTGAAGCACTAAGGAATGATAAGGTTGTGTTAATACTTATGATTAACAGAAAACTTATAACAGAGAAGTTGTAAAAATCAATGACAGAAATCCTGATAAGATGGACATCATTACTAAGACTAACAATTAGCAACAACAAAACGCAATATTAATAACTGAAATACCCCTTTTTTATATAAATCATATCTATTTAATTATCAATCTATCTATCCATTTCTGTCTATATTCCAATCTCTATAATATACACACAGCACACATTCATATATATTCACACACACTTTATATATATATATATATATATATATATATATATAT